GTAGAGAATGAAGCAAGTGGTTCATCATACAACGAAAATCAATGAAGCAATTTCTGCAGTTAGGGGGGCTTCCCATCACCAGAGCTCACATAACATTTGGTGGTTACTATGATGGTCTTTAAAGCACTGCCTTCTAGGGAATTCGGATCATCAATCGGCTTGAATAAACTACTATGATGAAGTTGATGGATTTGCTATGCCAGTTCTACAAGATTTATGCAGGTTCTCAGTTTTTGTGCATTTATAAACGTATATGGATGCCTATTCTATCCTGTTTGTAATCCTGAAATTCTATATTGATGTGTCTATTTAGCCACTTAATAGATGCTTGCATCCTTGGTCATTTATAAGTATAGTTTTTAACTGTGGGAATTGACCTTAGTGAAATGCTTACAAATTCAGCACTTGCAAAAGTATATGATCAAAGGAATCAAACTAAAGGAAGAAATTATCAGCACAATAAATCTACCAAGATTATCATTATTGGCAAGCTGTCCATTTTGATTTCTTCTCTTGATTTTTTTTTCTGCAAAGAATTTTGTGCTATGACTGAACCTTCTTTAGAAAGAAAAGTAAAATATACAGTACAAAGAAACAAAGAAACAAAGAAATAGAATCGCACAATAGACATTCGAAGGTCAAGAATTTGCATCTAATGGATTTTTTTCATTTTTTTTCTGACTAAAATATTTGCTGGCAATTAAAAAGTCATTCAAGGAGTATTTGTGGATTGTAGTTTATTGCTTTATTTATGTTTTATTTATTTGGGGGGGCTCCTACACGTAAGCATCAAACCAAATAGTCAATCTTTAAAGCACATAGGTTTTTTTTTCCTTTTTTTTTTTAATCTTGTTTGAATTTCTAGTTGGTTTGATTTAGTCTTCGAGAACACTTATCCTCAAAGGCTGATTAACGTTATCCATAATCCACCTTTTCTTGATTTCAATCCATAACAGGACAATTTTTCCTATTAAAATATCTCATTTAGTTGGGTTTTAATCAATCATGTGCCGGCCAAAATGGATCAACTTAAATCCACCCAATAGCTCTCATATGAGAAATTTTTCCTTAACTATAACCCCATAAAGATATTTTAACAGGCCATGAAAGGAAAAGAAAATGACTGAGTGAACAGCCAAAACATACAAACAAACAAGATTTATTGAGTCCTGTCCCACCTCAGAAAAATCTGGCCAATATTCCCTACAATTTGAAAGCCGTATTTTCTGCATAATTATAAAAAAAAAAAAAAATGGTGACTTGAGGTTCACTAGAAATTATTGATGTGACTTGGGTGCTTTGTATTTTTGCCCAGAAGAACCTGCATGTAATGCAAGTTGCGTGAGTTGGGTTGCCATGTGTAGCCAACCTTTATAGAAACAGTTAATAGTTCCAAATGCAAAAATAAAAGATTCAGAATATGCAAAATTGTTGTCTTTGATTGGAATCTTCAATTTTATGAGTTTTTTGTTTTTTTCCTTGTGAACTTATTTTCTTTTGGCTTGGTTGTCAAATGTGAGGATGACAAACAGCATCTTGATTCATTTGGTCAATAATATTGTTCAACTTTGATTAATATTTTGTATGGCTACATTCATGTATCAGATATCATTGGCAAACAGAAGTAATTTCCTTTCAATAAACAAGCAATTGACTTCAACATAAAGAGCCTAAAGTTGTTTTATTTTACAGACTTCTATTAAATTCTAGTTTTAATAACAATTCAAGCTTAATCTAACAATTTAGGTAAGAAGAAGCTATCATATTCAAGAAACAGGACATACCTACAAGAATTTACATTGAATTTAATCTAATAATTATTAATCTCTTTTAACTGGGTGGTTAAATCTTTCAAATTTGCCTATAACTCTATAATTGTGTCCAAAATTCCTTTGATCCACCAATTTTTCCCACCAAACAAACAAACAAAAGAGGTAAAAAGGAAAAATAAGAGACCAGTCATCTTGTCTGTCTTAGTATACTTTTTTGTAAGTTGTTGTAACAAAAAAAAATAATCTTAAGAGTACTTTGTTGAAAGAAAGAATAAATTGATGGACTAAAAAATTTCTAGAAAACAAATGATCACGCAAAATCACTCCCTCTTGAACATGGCAGGGCGAAAGGGACACCCTCAAGTTGCGTACAACAGACAAAGTTTACTTCTTTTTGCAGTTTTTGACGTTACAAATTTCAATCAATTTGACTTTGTCTAGTGCAAGAGTTCAGGAAAAAAAAAAGTATATTGAACAATTATAAAAATCCTAGACCAAGAAGAGATTTTTATACTCTTAACACAATTTTTTGGTCTGTTTACTTTTAAAACAATTAACCAAGAAGAGAATTGCAGAAATCCTTGTTCAAGAATTACAAAATTTATTATTCATCTTTGAAAGGCTACGATTTTTTAGTTTGGTTCAAAAATAATTAAAAATCGATGATAAAAGAATGATAAATTTGGTCTATCCTATCATTTAAACATTACTTTTATATTATTTTATAACGAGTTAATTATACTTTTGGTACCTAAAGAGAAAAATATTTAAATTTATATATATAAAAAAAAATATAAAATCCGCACCTTAAATTTTTAAATAATATATAATTTATATTTTAAACTTTTAAATTATATATCATATTAACTCAAACTTTAATTTCGTTAATCATATCAGCTTATATATAATATTTATATATATAATATTTAACATCAGTTATAGATTCATCACACAACATTTTTTTTAATATAAATTAAAAATATTTTACGTGAACCACAAAAAATGTTTAGTAATGGTCAATCATTTTTTTATCACTGACATACACATAAAGGTTTTACAAATATTTAATATTTTTATTTAAAAAATTAACATACATATAATAAAATTATACTGATTAAATATCATATAAGTGAATTAAATTATAAATATTAGAATTCAAATTAAAATGATACATTTGATTTAATCCAAACAAAAATTCAAGAAATATTATACAAAAAAAAAAGAAAAAACAGTTTGAATTTTACATTCTTATAATCTTTACACCAATCAATATATGTCTTTAAAAGATTGCGAACACAATGATTTTGAACCAGTTAACCATGTAAATCTATGTGGAATAATTGACATAGATGTCTGAAACTTTACGAGTTACTTTCAAACAAAACACAAGTTCAAATGTCCGGAAAAACATCTATTGTGAAGAACAATAGTACTTTTGTTTCCAAAGGATTGAATATTTTTTAATTATTTTTTGTTGGCAAATGGCAAGTTAATAACCTTTTATTCATAATTATTGTAAAAAAAATCTTAATTTATTGCTTTTTAAAAATATACTTAAAAGCAAAACTGATAAAAGAGAGAAAGAAAAGGGGTAAAAAAGGAAATATACGAAGACATCTAGGAAAGGAACGGAGGAAAATCGTTCCTCACCCTCAAACGGATTCGAATTGCTTTAAGCCTCTGTCTGAACCAAACGGCGTCGGATAATAATATAACCTCCTGGTTATTCTAGAGGCATTAATATTCTGAAGATTTACCCAAAACAAAAAAAAAAAAAAAGGAAAAAGCAAATTAAAAATGTCCAAGGCTGCTTGGGGGACAATTGACGAAGAAAAAGCACAGAGAGTCCCCTCAAAAGGCCTGAGTTAAAGTGGCCAAAAATATCTGAACCGATATCTCTGGTTTTTCGAATTGATTTCAGCCTCCTAACTAAGCCAAATGCAAAACTTTGATTTCATTCACATGGCTACTCAAAGAGGCAAATATGAAGGATTAACAAAAAGAGAATTAATTTGAAAAAAAAAAAAAAACTTGAATTTGTGGATGGAGAGAAGAGCCAAGTCCAGGGTTTTAAAATGGGCGTTGGGTTAGGGTTTTCAGGTTGAGGCTTGTTATAGCGATGGTTCATGAAATTACATACATACCCTTTTCATTCTTTATTTTTAATGTTTAAAACTGAATTAGGACTTTATAGGTATTTGTTACCGTTGGTATTAAATTATTAATTTTAATGATAAAATATCAATTCTGATAATTTTATGTACAAAAAAACTTTTAAGTAGGTTCTCTGATATTGAAAAACCTTTATAAATATTGGTAGTTTACAATTTATAATAATTATAGCATAATTAAATAAATAATCAATTATAATTCATAATTATATGAATTTAATAAATTTTTATATGAAATTAATATTTATAAGTGTTGAATTTCATATATGAATTGTGATGGGTCGATTATAATATTATAATAAAAAAATTATAGTTAAATTTTATGGTAAGATAGAGTATTCTAGATTTTGTTCTGAATTTCTTTTTTTTTTTCTCAAATGATTTTAAAATATTATTAAATAATTCTTAAGGATTATTTTGTATATTTTCAATAGAATTTGATAAGGGAGATTTAGAATGTCAGCGCATGTTAGTGCATTAGTTTTTATAATTTATTAATCTTTTTCCATAAAAATATTTATTAATTGCTCTATTTTATAATCTAATGAAAAATCAATCGGTATTTTAATTTCATTTGTAAAATTTAAAAAATATTTAATTTTTAATTAATTAAATTAATATAAATCGCTTATATTTTAAAACTAAAATTAAATGTCATAAATTATTTTTAATCTTAATAATAAGTGAGTCAATGAATAAAATGTCCATTTTCACCTAATTAAGGAATGGATCACAATCGATTTCCTCTTTCTATCTATAAATTCAAGTTATAATTACACTTACAAGAACTAGCTTGGCCATCCCTTTTTCAACTTCAATTTGTTTTTCAAAATTAAACTTTTTCAATGCAAGTTTTGAAAATTAATGCCCATTTGCAGAGTAAATTTGTGAAAGGATGAGCAAGCAAATGATTCATTAAGCATCCAAAAGAAAATGATGGTACTCTCCACAAACATTTTGGTGTGATAAAAGAACAAATTAACAGCCCTCCCAAGAAAAATAACTAAAAGAGATTAAAGGGAAATCATAATTAAAAAAATAATTCATTAGTCACAAACAAACAAATCACATCAATTATACATTAAAATGAAAACAATAAGAAAAGTATGAAATCATGACCAATAGTCACAAGGAGAAAAAATACGTAAAAAGCGAAATCCCAACCAAAAAATCCTCAAGCGTTTCTTTCTTTCTTTCTTTCTCTTCCTATAATTCACTAATATAGAGTTTTATACCCTTTGGAGAGAAAGAATAAAAGAAGAGAACTTGAGACAAAAGAACTCTACATAAACCCCAATAATGGAAGATAAAATATAATGTAACCCATCAATGACACCATTTTAGAAAAGAAGGCCAAATGCGAGAGCAAGAAGGGAAGTAACCAATGTTGGCACGAAGGCAGTGGCATCTGAGGTAGGGCTAGGGGCCGGGGCATCAGTTGCCGCAACATTTTGGAGCGCGGACAAGGCCATCAGCACTATCATGACGGTGAAAATCAGTCTCATCCTCAATGCCTCCATTGTCGATATAGTCTTAGCAAATTTTCCTAGGAAAATTTCGTTGCAAATGGGGGAAGATTGAATGTATGGAGACAAAAGAAGGAAAATGTTGCTGAAGCAAATTGAGACAAGCAATACTAGGGTGGCATAAAATGGGAATTATATAGGTGATGGGGACAAAAGAAAATTTAGGGGGTTACGAGCTGGCTGCCCGAGGTGACCGTTGCTCCAACCATGTGCGCACAGTGTCCTTTTTTGGGGCTGCCCGTTTGTTGGGACAGGTTGGCTTTAACTTTTAGGTGCCATACAGCTGTCGCCAAGGCTTTTTGTGGCCAGTCTTTGGGGGGTCCATTGCCTTAACCACCGCTTTTTTTTGGGCAGCTCAATTCTATAGAAACTTTTTATTTTACAATATTTTGGGGTATTTAAAGACTATTTTAACCCTATGTGCAATCATGTTCTGTGGTTTGAGTTCAATTTTTTATGTCAATTTTGGCATTTGAACTGAGTAATTAATAATAAAATATTATTTTTTTATTTGGTCCTCATGAATTGGTAGAAGATATTTTTAGTGCGTATTTTTTTTAATTTTTAATCATTGAAGCTCAAATTTTTGAATTCTTTGATGGATACGTAGGCTGGTTTGAGCTGTTGGGACCCATTGATTCACTGGCGTTCACAAATTATCATATGTCATTTGAAAGGATGACACTGGTGATTACTTATAACCATTTTTTTTATGTAAAAAAACTAATTTTGCTGTATCAATTGCGATAATTAAAGGTAAGGTACCCATATTTGTTAATTTTATTTAGATTTTTTTTACAGAAACCTAAAATTTATAAGATGATTAATCTTAAAAATGAAATTAAGATTTATCATATAAGATGGAATTTGAATATTTTTAATTAATACAAACACAAATAATAAATAAAATTTGAATTCGAAATCAATCAATATTAAGATACGAGTTTTATAATTTTGTGGTGGAAATTTTTGTGCCCAAATTGTGTGAAAACTGAAAAACAAAGACTTCAAAGTAAATTGGGTTTTTTCTTTTTTGTTTTTAATTTTTCCTTCTTTTTTGAGGTTTAGAACTTAAAATACAAGAGATGGTTAATCCAATTCAAGAGTCCCAAATTAGAACCTCAAAGTTAATATCCACATTTCAACCTCAAATTTAAAATTTCATCTCTAGATATGAATAAGACAATATGGTTCAAGAGCAATGTTATAGAGCCATGCATTGCACCAAATTTCATTGTGTAAGGTCACAAAATTCTTGCTTAATTTTTTTTATCTCAATTTCTCCTAAGCCACTATCTCCCTTCCATTGTTCAAATCCACAAAATTCATACAAAGGCAAATAAAACGTGGAGTTCTTTTTGAGTGCGTAAGGCCATTTTCCTCTTCTCTCTCTCTCTCTCTCTATATATATATATATATATATTTGTAATTCATGGAGTTTTATTTTTTTAATTTTGATTTTTTTTTTTTATAAAAAAGGTTAAAGTATAAGATTAAAAATCAATCTTATTAAAATCAAACTCTTAAATAAGATCCATGAACTATTTGAACTTTCAAATTTTGAATTTTGTTCATTGATACTAAAAATCCGATAATTTCACGACATATTAATTGAAAAAAATTATATCATTTCATTTGAATGTTACCAACACATTATTGTAGCTTAATTTACACGTAAATTTGAAAATCCATTCAATTACATCATGTGATTTTAGTTGTTAGTTAAAGTCAAGCCTCAGTAAAATGTTAATTATTCATCATTTCATTCACATTCAATCAGTTGTTATATATGTTTGTCATTATATCTAATTTAAGGAAATTTTATTGTAGCAGTTTTTATACAAACAAGAGTACTTTATAGTTTATGATATCTATTGTTTTCAAACTGACATAATTGGGGCAGGCTGTCTCATTTTTAATCTTTGTCCAATGCAATTTTGCTCTTGATTATATGAAAAACTCAATGGAAGTTAGTCTGCTTTCATCCCATTACTTTTTTCAATATTTTTATTTTAAAATTTTCAATCAATTATACTTTGAAAATACTTTCTTTTTAGATTTAAAAGGAAGTTCATTCTCATAAAAAAAAAAAAAAAGTTCATTGCCTTTGACTATATAATGATTAAAAAGAGAAAAAACAATTGAAGGTTTTTTTTTTTTTAATGGGATTTCTGCATAAACTAAAAAGATGAAAAAAGATGCATGTTAATTACATTGGAACATTATCTATTTATCAAGTTAAGGTGAGTTCGTATTTTTTTTTCCAAATAAAAAATGTATATCATACTACATTCCTTTATAAATATCTTTTTATATGAATAGAAGTACCTAGATGGATTTTGGCAATAATTCTTAAGTTTTAAGTCCTAAGAAGTATTATTATGAATGAAAATGTAGTACATCAATTTTTTTTTTTAAAATGAGATTGCAATTTAAGAATAAAAAAAATAAATTATAAGTATTAAAATTTAAATATCGTATCTATTATATGACACTTCTTAAAAATGATTATATAAAAAAATTGAATTAAATTTTAAATTTTAATCCTTTAATTTTTTGCATCTCCTAATATTTTGTCCCTCTTCTCTTACATTTTCTTTTCCTTATTTTTCAATTAATACAGGCAGAAGTTGCCCCCTACACAAAAGAATTTAAGAAACATACCACTAAGATAATATTATATTTAGATTGAGGGGAAGGAAAGGAAAATAAAAAAAAGTAATTAAAACAGAAAAAAAAAATTTTGTTTTGATAAACTTTTAATATAAAGAAAAATAATGAGGTAGAAACTTAATAATCTTTTAATTTTTCTTGTAATTTTTACTTTTTTAATAACCCAATTAGAGGAAAAAGCTAAAGAAAGAAAAGTTAAAAAAAATTTATTTTTTATAAAAAGATTGTTATATTCATATTTTTATTATGACATTAAATTTGATTATATAACTGATACTTCTTATAAAAATAATTTTTTTATATGAGTATTTTATATAACATTATAATTATAAATATTTTATAATTTTTCAAGTGTTAACAATAAAATAAATCAAATTATTATCAGAATAAATTAAAAGGCTGAATTACACATAAAATTAAGAGTAAATAAATAATTAATCAATACATCTTATCATATTAAATATGTTTAATTTTGTTTAAAAATATTTATTTATACAAATTAGGTAATATAAAGATATATTTATATATTAAATATTATTTTATAAAAAAATATTATAATGAATTTTTTTTTTCATTATTTATCTAAATGGTTATTAAAAAAAATTTTAATTTTTTTTTATTTATATGTATTCAAACATAATATAAGAGGTTATGAGGAATTGAAAAAAAACTGTCTAACGAACAATCTTTCAATAAAATTGGTGCCTAGCAACAACTGGTTTATGTCATCCTTTTAAATAGTAACTTCAAACAAGTTTACGCACTCTTTTGAGTTGCAATTGTGGCATGGGCCAAATTATCAATGGCATGGGGCCCTACTGCTTTTTGATTTGTCCGGCTTCTATGCATGTTTTCATTCCAAATGCAACGGTCCAAATATTTCAAACCTTTTCCCCCAGTTTAGTCTTTTATTATTAGTTTGATATTTCAAAAAATGTGAAGGAGAGGGATTTAAAATTTAAATTCGAACCTTAAATCTGAATTCTACCATAGAAAGATTAGAGCAACTAAAGCAATTCTGCCTCTTTAACTAATCAGATTTTGCTAGATGTCAGAGTGATTTGTAATCTCCCTTATTGTTGCCATAATTGAAGATTGTCACCAACTCTAGGCAGTAGGTTTCACTTCAATTAGAAATTTCAACATTTATACCTTGACGAAGGGGACTGCTAGCTGCTCCAAATTAAGTGCCTTCTGGTTTGTCTGCCTTTGAAATGCCGACCCTAAGATGGCCTGTTTCTTGTTGCCAGTGCCATGGATGTAAGCTTTGTACAGTTGCAGCTTATATCAAAAGGAATATATTTTTATAAGCTAATTGTAACCTTCACAACTTACATATTTTGAAAAAAAGTTTAGACGAAAAGAAGTTATCTCGTTATAAATTTTAACGAAAATTTATATTAGATTTACAGATGAATTAAAAAAAAACTGCTATTAGCAAAAATTGCACCTAACTTTTATAAACACAATGTTTAATTGTTACTAACTCAAATAGCTCTAGATTTGAGAAGAGAAATTAGAATTAAAAAAGCAATGAGATTAAAAATTGTGTTAAGTGCAACTACCCCACCTTGCCATATTCAAATTACAATAAAGCTAAAGAAATACTTTCTTATTTCACCATAATAAATGATTCAATCACCCGACGTTCAAGGCAGCATTCTAAGAAATAAAAAAGAAGTCAATATAATCTGCTGTTTTTCATTACCTTTAGCTGACTTACAATACCAAATTTCTAACTGGTTCCCAAGATGTCTAGCTTCTAGTTAAAATATGATTGTTTTATTCATTAAAATAATGTTTGATATATAAGATAATAGAAAGGATAGTGTGATAATTATTTTATATTATATTTAATTGATATTCAATTGAAAGAAATAAGATTATAAAAAAAATTATCATTTTTTTGGTATATGATGATTTAATCTTTTTAAAATGAAAAAGATTATTTTTAATTCATAAAATTAAAATTACATGTCTTATTATACCCTTAAAGATTATATCAATCATTTAAATTATATAAATTTTTTTAAAAAATAATTTTGATCAATAAATAAATTATCTTATTTTAATTATTACATATCAAATATAAGATATGATGATATAATTTAATTTAATCTTATTTATAATATCATCTTATCATCTTATCTCATTTTATTATAATCTTGTATTCTAAACATGACTTTAAATTTAAGATAGAATTTCAGAGGGCCCCAACTTTTCAAATTCATATGCTTTGAAATTAAGCAAGGAAAAAGAAAGGTAGGGGCTAGCAGGACAAGGTTAGGAAAGTGAGGATATTAGCTAGGATAAAGGCTGATGGCTATCAAGGATGGTTGAATTATTTTTTAAGCAAAATTTTTTTTTAATGCAATACTTTCACTAATTTTTTTTTAACTAAAACAATGCATTAGTTGCATGTTTTTTTCTTAAATATCATCTTAAACTCAATTACTAAACAATGTAATTTGCATTATTAGTTATCATCTTAGAATCAAAACAAGTACAACACTTATTTTTTTTTAACAAGTCAAGCAAAAAATCCATGCACCATTTCAAAATTCATGGAAAAACAAATTTGGTCATACTTGTTTATTGTTATTAATAATAATTACATAAATGCAATTTTAGGTATAGTTTAAGATTTAATTAAATTACGAACTTTAGGTAGCGGTTTTTTAATTTTATTTATAAATTAAAAAATTATATTGTTAATGTATAAAAATTATTTTTATTTTTTAATTTAAATTTGAAAAGTGAAAAGAATGAAGTTTATGTAGTGGGAGAAAGCTAATTTCCCTTATTTAGGAAAAAAGCAAATTAATTTTTTTTTTGAGATAGCTAATGGATTTTTTATATATTAAAAAAAAACAACTTAGTTTTCTTTTGGACCTGAACTAAAGCCCATCTGTTAAGATTTAGAGACTTGTAATCTGTGAAGTCCAAAAGGCCTTGCTTAAAATTCCAAACACAAAGCAATAGCCCAAATTCTATTCAAGTTGAACCCAAATGAATGTGGCACCTTGCCTACTTTTGTTTTGGTTCACCAACTCACTCAACATGTCTTTTTGGCATTTTGCCTAGTGTAATTTCCCAAAAATGGGGGAAAGTTAATGATAAAATAAATAATATTAAAAATGATAATCAATTGAAGTAGGTCCCAGCATTCCATCATGCCCTAAGATTCAAAATCGGACGGTCAATGTAAATCTCCATATTTAATTATTTTCAGCATCGGCGCGGGGAGAGATAATAAATAAAAAACAGGGAGAAAAGAAAGAAGAGTTCAGAATTCACAAACAAAGGTTCAGAGAGAAGGGAAGAAACACAACAGATTAGACTGGGGAGACACGGAGAAAGAGTAACAAGAGAAGGCCTCCTCAAATTCTATAAACAAAACAGAGAAATTGAAGCAATAATTTAGGCAAAAGAAAAAGAAACTCAACTTTTTTTTTCTCTGGGATGATAATATTGCACTGTAAGATTTCTTCTTCTTCTTCTTCTTCTTCTTCTTCTTCTTCTTCCAAGCTTTTTTTTTTTTAATACTTAGTAATTAATATATTTTTTATTTGGAATTTCAGGACTTTTTTTGAGGAAAGATTATAGTGTATTTGTTTAGATCTTTGATGTCAGGCAACCAATTCCTCTCAAAGTTCTAATTTTTGTTTTTTCTCTTGATAGCATTTCTTCTCCTCTGATGACTCTTCTCTTACTTTAACAGAAACAGCAAAAACCCAGACTTTAATTTCATCATCTCTTTGATTTCACAGCAGAAACCACCCAAATTGGTTTTCTCTAAAATAATAATTTTTATTTCTTTTTCATTCTTTTCAACAAAATTTTCTTACTCAAATTTGATTTTTTTGGGTGAAAAATTGAAACTTTTTATTTGTTTTTTTTCTTTATGGCAGAGATGGAGAAAGAAGAGAGGAGTCAAAGAACATGCAAAACAATAGAGCCAGAGCTGTTTTTACAGTGGGGAAATAGAAAGAGGCTAAGATGTGTGAGAGTTAAAGACCCTCAAAAAATCTCTCATAAATCCAAAGCTATAATTCGCAGGAGAATCACTTCTCGTCTTTTAGATAAAGAATCCTCTCCTTTTTCTCAATCCAATACTCGTCTCACTAGGTAAGAAGATCAAAATTTTTTTTGGCATTTAAAAAAATTCTTGAATTTTCTCGGCACCTTTTGTTGGTTTGGAAAAAAGATGAGATTTTCTCTCTTTTTTTTTTTTACAAATTTTTTTGGAAAATTTTCTTGTTACCCTTTTGTTTGTTTTCTGATAAGCTGTTGGGTAGGGGTGGAGGGGGAGAAAAGATTGAATTTTGTTTTAATTTTTTTTTGGCCAAATCAGCCGTGGATGGCAATGGAATTTTTTTGGGGTAAAAAAACAAAGAAAATTTATTTGTTTTGGGTCTCAGACACCTACCAGTGTTTAAGAAATTTCTAAGAAATTGAGGTTGGACAGCTTGGTATCCCCTGTTTGGTTGCTGGATATAGAGAGAAGGGTAGTATGAATTTGTCTGTTTTATGCCATTTCAGTTTTGTGACTACTATTTTTTGGTCCCTTAGCTACCAAACATGGTGTTAAGAAATTCCCCAAGGAAAATTTTTATAATGAATAAGCAAACCGGTAAAATGTGAAATTTACACATTTTCTTTTGTATGTTTTGTTGTAGGAATTCTGAGGCAGCTATACTCCGGTCAGGCACGGCAGAGCACCGGAAAGCCGTGTCACCAGAGAAGGAGGATAGGTACTACACAACAAGGGGATCAGCAGTGGGATTGGTGGATGAGAATGGGAAGGTTGCACTGGATAGCACTAATGGAGAGGATAACAAAGGGCTAGTGTGGCCAAAGCTGTATATCACTTTGTCAAGCAAAGAAAAAGAGGAAGATTTTATGGCAATGAAAGGGTGCAAACCCCCTCAAAGGCCTAAAAAGAGAGCCAAGATTATCCAAAGGAGCTTACTTGTAAGTAACATTGCTGGATTTATGCATAGCTTTCAATAATTGAAGCATATGTAGTTTTTGTTTTTTGATGAGAAAAGAAATGTGATATCAAATAATTGAATTGGTTTTTGGGTCGTTTCTTGTGGAGGGAAAAGACTTCTCCTTGGATTAATGCAAGATTCAGATTTGATGATTTATCCTGTGGATTTCTTTGAATTTTGGTTTGACATATTTTGGTGGTTGGCAGCTGGTGAGCCCTGGGGCATGGTTGACTGATATGTGCCAGGAGAGGTATGAAGTTAGGGAAAAGAAGAGTTCTAAGAAGGTAAATGATTGAGTCTCTCTTCCTCTAGTTTTCTACAATAATTCTTGGTATTTTATTTTTATATTATTTGCAGTTTTCAATAAATTCTGTAGATAAAGTTATTTTCTTTTCTTTTCTGTTCTTTTTTTTTTTTCTTATGTGGTTTGGCATTGTGCAGAGACCAAGAGGATTGAAGGCCATGGGGAGTATGGAAAGTGATTCAGATTGAGAGACATGCCATACATCTATGGCAGCAGCAGAGGCTTTTTTCTCATCTGAATTTTTGGGAATATTTTTGCTGTTAATGTTAATGGGGTTGTTGGAGTTTTCAGGGAGAGAAAAAAATTGGGAAGTTAGAAGAGTCTCTGCTCTGCCGGGTTTGTTGTATAGATGTTGGAAATTTCATTTTTATAAATAAGAATAATCATTTTTGTTATTCATTCCCTTGCTCCAAATATTTACTGCAGACAAAATGCAAGTGCGTCTGTCCTTTCTACCTTGTTTTCTGATCAAATAGTATCATTTTGGTAAATATGATGGTGAAAGTACAACATGAGATTCCTTCAGACTTTGAACTTAATGTTATGCATGTGGTCAAATGAAGCAGTACATATGGTCAAAAATTTTGTCAAATTTGATGGCTAGATTGGCCCGATCATTATACTGGCAAAAACCATTTGACAGAGGTTCTGTCTGTAGATTTAGAGGGTAGCATTTGTCAGTGACTGCTCTGGTTGGATTCTTCTTACAAAATCTCAAGTACATCCTTTCTCCCTAGTGGAACCAAAAATGTAAAATTTGCCTTGGATTTTGTACCCTAGAGGAGCATTTGGCCGGAAGTTCTGCAATCTTTCGAGAATAGTAAGCAACATAATTCATTAGAAAAGCAAATTAGATATCAAAATGCTCTGGAAACAACCAAAAGGTTCAAGCAATTGTTGAAAAAAAAAAAAAAACCCTAGGCTGTATCAGCCTTTCGGTGAACGAAGTACTTTGCCAGACTCTTAATATTCTCTATGCACATGACCATTCCAGTTAAATTGTTTACAGCAAACCTTCGTATCTTATGTTTTCAAGTTATGTGTAAGGGCAGTAAGGGAAAGAAGAAAGTATTATATCATGGCAAAGTATATACAGAGGAATCATTAACCAGTTTCACATCTCATAATTTCAACTTTCAAACGTTATCATTGTCTCTAATTATCTCTAATTGTAACAACTTGAAATGAAAGTTTCCGAGGTATAAGAAGCAAAAAGCCAATTATTCCAGCTGGTTGTCCTTGGTAATCGTATCTTTATTGCTATGTCTTTTGGAATTCTAAGTTGGTTCATCTTCCAAAGAAGTTAGATGCAAATGTAACACAATATCCTGCAAAACGAAGCCAATAAGCATCAGAAGGATCTCCAATTTTGGATATCACTGCCGGAATACGATTCATGATATATGGCAGTTTAGCACCACTTAACATTTAGCACTGAAGCTAGATGACTTTTGCTGTGCACATAATTCATAAGACCGTTTAACAGTTTTCTGAAAAGGATATTCAGACTAAGTTTCCTCTACATGCTGCAGCTGAGCAATTAACGATCATAAAGATGTGCAGTTCAGTTTATACAAACAAAAGCCTTCATTTAGTGCTTAGTACAGGCAAAAATGTAGATGAAACAGAGATTTAAGAAATTGGAAACTTCACCTCTTAGGTCCCTTCTAGCAGCAAAGTCAGTTGACTTGAGTCTGGGCAGCTTGGAGCATTTCAACTATTAGGGTTTTCACATCCCTAAGACGTGCATAAGAAAACCAGATTGAACATGCAAATAACACAGTCAAACATCATATAGTGTCCCCCCAAGCTATTGTTCTTTTACATAAAGTCTGAGCCAGTCAGAAAAGAATCCACATGAAAAGACAATCAAGTCATTCCTATAATCCCATTTAAATTACAAGACCAAAGAAGACAATGGCCTTGTCCTCCCATTTGTTTCAGTGGCATTTGCCAGGATGGTATAAATTTAATTTTCATTGATAAAGGAAATTAAGATGAGGATCTCAAAGCAGATGCCTTATATAAAAAGTAAAACTGACGATTAAGAACAGATGGCAAGTAAAAACTCAAGGAAAATTTCTTCAGAGATAGAAAATTCAATCTAAGATATCTCACTTTCTACTTTCTGCACGTCTAGGAAAAGGAATTCGCAGCTTGAAAGTATTTCCTTGATAACCAGCCTGCAGGAAAAAAGGGAGAAAGGGAAGCACAAGGCAATTAATGAAAGGAATTTTCGATATTAGTTAACTTCCAAGTAATGCAATTCACTTTCCATCATGTAAAATAGATATTAGCCAATAAAATAGATCCAACATAAAAGGTTAAAAGTTATCAGAACCTTGACATTGAATCCAAGACTATCCAAATCCAGCATGTAAGCGTAGTCAACCTGGAGAAAGATACAATTAGCTAGGGCAAGGAGAGAACCAAAACAAGATATGTTAAACTCCCAACCAATCAAAGGTCGTCAATGTGAAAATTTCAGAAAAAGAAATCATCACATTGAATACTAGTGATAGAAGGGAGAGAAGAAATGGATCTGCAAGTCATGTTTTGAGAAGACAACAGCTAGCCAGAAGCTTTTAAATTTTATCATAGAAAATAGTGGCAGTTTTCTATTTGGGGGAAGAAGCCATAGGTCTACCAAAGAACGATGGGGCAATATTGTCTGCAAATATAAACTCGATGAACGGTTAGTTATAATGTTGGATTTTCTAGAATGAAGATTCAGTTTTCTGGATTGTTAATATTATTACAATGGTGTCGCAGTTTTGGGTTGAAGAAGCATTTGGACAAATTTCAGTACAAATGGCAGCCTGATAAAATCAACAATTTTAGCCAAATTATTGCTAAACTAGAAAGATTACCTAATGAAAATATTCAGCATAAATTATACATTTCAATTACTCTAATTTCAGTAGTGGGCCTAGAATTAGCCAATAGAGGCATGATCCCCAATTTTCCACCTTAATCAGCAGGGGCTAGTTGACTTGTCTCTTCAATACAATATGGATACAATTTTCCACTTCCTATAAGATATAGCGTTAAATAGTAATATTCCTAATTACCGGAATCGATGTTGCGAATTGCACAATGACTTTAGTGTCTTCAGCATGATCCTTGTTCATGTGAGACTGAAAAGAAATGCTGCATTAATAAGGACAAAAAAGGAAAGTTCCAACAAACAAATGAAATGTTGTACAGGAGAATGAACAGCCAAAATACCGCAACAGGCTTAGAGAATTGAGCTATTGGATCAACTTTTGAATCCTGGTACTCCTCTTTGCTGAACTCTAAAAATATAAAAAATACAAAACATGACATCATATAAAATAAAATGGGAGAAGCTGGTTAGGACAGAAGAATTGCACCACAAACAAATCCATAAAAGTTGCTGAAAACAATAAGCCAAATGGGTGACAAGGAAGAAGCAAAAGCACCTTTGAGTGCCTTGCCTTAAATGAGGTAGGCAACATTAATATTCTCTGAAAGATAACATAGTAGAGGAAATGTAGGATATGATACAGAAAAGCAATCAGAGCACAAACCTCCTGATCCTAGCAAAGCTGTTGCAACACCTGATACATATCTCACAACCTTTGGTTCAATGTGCATAAATTGGAAGTCACCAAAGTCAACCTTCATAATGGAAGTGTATGCTGAGTTCTCTATCTAAATAAGATTTAGTAAGAAAATTTATCTAAAGAGACATGGCATGCAGGGGGATGAGAGGCACAAATACCCAGAATGCATTGGGGTGTTTAGCCAAATAAGCAGTTCGAACGGCAGCTTGATCTTTTTCAGAAACCTATATAATTGATCAATACATCATTTCAAATACTTCAGAACACCAAACAAATAGGATGTTAAATAGTAAGGTGTTAGGCTCACAAATGAGTTTAAAACCAGAATCCCCTAAGACATACATAAAAGGAGAAAGGGAAATAACAAGCAACTTACAGCAATAGCATCACCATGCAGGGTAATTACTAAATCTGTCCTATCCTCAGGATCTCTAACGACAAGCAGTGAACATTTGGGATTAGCCAATAGGTCCTGTGAAAAGCATCAAGTTTTGACTGATTATTACATAAAAAGAACTAAACTTGTTCACCAGGTTGAAAAGGACAACGGGATAGACAAGAGAGAAACTTCCAAATAGTAGAATGAAGGCAGGTTGGTGACTAGAACATAAGCAACTGATCATAAGAAAACAGGCATAATATTAGAGCGCTCCAGGCCGTTATAAATGGCTTTGTCAAAATTTGGCAACAAGACAATATCAATTTAAGATCCTAATAATTAGCATGATTCAAATGTATGGGCCTCCATCTCGATGCATAAGACTCATCAGAACATCTGTTCAATATCCTTTTGATGTTTCAATTCCCCTTCTCCCAATCCCTCTGGAACAGGGCAATGGATTAATGAATTCAAACTCGAAGTATTCATCAAAGTATAATTCAACTAAGTGAGAACCTTTGTATGAACTGCCATGCTGCTGACTGCTAATATTGGAGATCCATTGGCATCGCATGCAAAGTCAACTGCTGACCCTGATGGATAGCCCTCATGCTTCTGCATACAGAAAAGAAGTCAAAATGAGTGGGACAACAATGAGAAATATGTATAATGAGTAGGACGATATGACAAATGTCTAACGAGTGAGACAACAACTAGAAAAATGTCTATGTGATGAATGTCATGACCAACCATCAGAAACAAAAGGAGACCGGGCAAACGAGTACACAGGTTGATCCTAGTTCTTAGTTGCATGTGAAACTCACAAGGAATCCTAATATGAGTTGTTGAGGGAACAGATAAGTCATCATTTTAATTCCATCCAAAAACCTTCACAATAAGTGCCAAAGTACACTAGGTTGTGGAAGATCGTGTTTCCATGATATAGTTTCTGTATAGAAAATATTAGTTATATCAGCATTCAACTTTTTGACAGCATGGCCTAAGATACCATATCTGTAACTAGGAAGTATGAAAAAAGGAGGAGATTTGCAAGATTCAGCTACAGCTTGCGCAAGTTTAGATTATAGGAGTCTGCTACAGCAAGTTGATTAAGTTTATATTCATTATGAAGATGTGCAATGGTTACAAGATTCAGTTCTCATTTTTAGATTTCTCTGCCAGTTGATGAGATTATGATCTGCATAACAAGAATCCTTTAAAATACTTCATTCCTAATCATCTCCACGGAAAGGGTAAAGCAACTGATAACAATCTTACAAACAGGTAAGAAGTGATTGGAAAGTACTTTTCACTTTTAAAACTCATGAAGTAGTAACACCTTTCAAGCAGCTCTGATTTCTCTCAAAAAGATAAATAAATGAAGTACCAGAAAAAGTAAAAAAGACAAAACCTATAGGATATCAATCAATAACCATCATCAAGCTTTCAGCTTGTTCATTAAACATAATCAAGAACCACATCAAGACAATGAAGACAATTTGTTCTAAAGACTAAACAAGTATTAAAGGTATCTACTTATTACTCTTCGTGCTCAATTAGCCCGAAATTATAAACGATCAACTAGTAATATGATCACATACCTGCGAAAAAGTTGAAAGCATGCCTCGAGTGCTTTGATCAAGCAAGGTACGAATTTCTTCGACCGGAGGAAGCCTAGCAGCCTTCTCCTGAAAATAAAAGAACTCCATTGACTCAATATAAAACAAACAAAAGGAAAATATATACAGAAACAACATGTCAACATTATATATACAAAATTCGACAAACCTGGTGAGCTTGAATTAACTGAAACACATTGGTTTCCTTGTCAGTATCCCCAGGAGACACAGCCTGAAAAATAAACAAAAAAACCCATGAATATTATATCAAGGAAAAATCTTTTCCAATCAATTTACTCCTTTTCAGAAAAAAATCAACACAAAAAGAAAACCCAGTTTTTTTTAATAGAAACAAACAGAAAGTTGGGTGTGTAAATTACCTGAGAAGAAGAAGACTGAGTTGCAGAGGCCATGATGGAGAGAGGTCTAGGAGGAGGAACGAGAGAGAAACGAGAGTGACACAATTGAAAGATTAGAGAAGATGTAAGGGTTTTATGGACATTTAAGCGTGAAATTAGGTAGATTGTACAAGGTGCTGCTACACTCATCATCCCTTTCTACCCAACCTGCTGGATTGCAGCAAAGTCTCACCAAACTAAATTATTTATTTTTATTTATTTGTTTATTACTTTTCTTTTTTCTCAGTTCAAAGGCTATTTGAAAAGATGTTAGGAATTTAAAATTGTAAAGCTTGAAAATGGAGAGAGGAGGTTGAGGAACACCACGGCTTGGGCTTGCGATTGGTCTAATTTCAGAGGAAGAAATATATTTGTAAATTGGAAGCCAAGTTGTGCAAAAATTACATTTTTGGGTTGGGTGTAAATATAATTAATGAAATTTAAATTTATTATTTTATTGATAAAGTTTTTAAATTTTTATCAAGGAGCTAAAAATTATATTTATTTTTTTATTATATTAATTTTAAAAATATTTTAAACATCTTCTAAAAACATATATTAATATTTAAAATATTTCAAAAATCTAATATTGTTTCGTGTATTCATCTAATACATTCATTTTGCGATTGTTTTCCTCAAAAAAAAAAAAAAAATTCAATGTAATTCTGCTAATATTGGTAGCATTTTCCGATAAAATTTTATTGGAAATTTTTTTTCAACGAAATACAATTATTTTCGGATAGAATTCTATTAGAATCCATATTTTATTTGATAAAATTTCGTTGATAATTATTTTATTGGAAACGGATTATTATTGCTAACAAAAGGTTTTTTTTTTTAATTGAAAATCGATGTATTTGCATCCCAATTTTGTGTTTTGCAAAATTTTTTGTCGATATTTTCATTTTAGATAATTCAGTGGAGAAAAAAATTAGTGATTTTTGGTCCAAAATCAGGGGAAAAAACCGTTTTTGTTGTTAATTAGCCATGTAATTAAGAATTTAATTCTAATTAATCATATCTAAATTAACAATTCAATATGAAAATAAAACTAATTAAGTACTTACAGCCGCACAAATTATGATATCGAAATATTTCATATTCATACTAAAAGCATAAACGGTCCATTGAAATACTAAAAAAAAAAAAGTTATATAGAATATTCAAATATTCAAACAAAGCATCAGATACATGTCTAATAGCATAAAAATTACAATTTTTAAATAAGAAAATTATATACCCCAGGTTTAAAATCCTACCTAACTCAGCTTTAATGCCTTGCATCGCCTTCTGATCCATGCTTTCTAGCTCTACCTCATGGTCGAGAAGTTCCAGTTGCCTTACGTAATGCATGAAACATACTAAAATCAAATATTTGGCTTATTTAAGCAAAATCACTGTATCTATTTTTTGGTATTTGCACCATAATATTAATTTAGTCTTATACATCTAACATCTTTCCTTTCAGATCTTTAATTTCGAAGGATAAATATGAATAGGGATTTGGGACTGTAGGATCACAAGCTAAATAGAATGTTTTCTGCACAAAGCTTGCGAATCGAACTTGAGATGATCAAATGAGTTCTCACCATACTTCTAATACAATGAAGCGTAGCTTTGCTATAAGTATAATTCACATTGTTATAAAAAAAAAAAGAAATATTGAAAATATTAGTGTGCGTTGAGTTTATGAAAACAAAACTGTTTTTTATTTTTATTTTTATAAAAAATAAAAAAAAGTGTGAGAAACCTTATTTCTCTAAAAAATAAAATAAAAATTGGTCAAAATAAAAAAAAAATGTTTTCACTATTTTTAATGAAAACACTTTGTAAAGATGTGAAAACACAGGAGTTTTAAATTTCTTTTACCATTCATTACAAATCATCAAAATGTCGGGTTCAAGTCACTAGATATACGAGAATTTTTTTTTTATTTTTTTATATTATATTATATTATATTTATGCCTCAATGAGCATGGATGATTTTTTTTTTATTAACTCATTTTAGAACATTCAAACAAGAATTAACCCTCTTTAAAGTGTTATCAAACACTAAAAATGTTATTACTTTTGAATGTTTTATTTTTTATATTTTTTCAAAGTTCAGGTATTAAAAATATAATTAACTCTTTGAAATATTATATGATATATGCTGGCTGCTTTAGTCAGTTTAGTCCATATATATATATATATATGCTTTATTTTTTTAATCATCGATAATGTGCTATTTTTATTCCTAAAATCCGCTAAATAAGTTAAAAAACTTTCTTTGAATGTTTTATAATGACCAATTCTTGAAAAGATAGTTATAATATGAAATAGAAAACTAGTTCAAATTAACTCAACAAGTTTATATATATTTATATATATATATATATATATATATATAACAATAACCATATTTCGACAAAAAAAAAAACCATTTTATCTTTAATACTATGAAGTATGAAACATATTACTAATATGAAAAAACTTATTTTTTGCTATTATTTTCATAGCATGTAAGAAAAGAACATTAAATTTTTTGGCCATTAGCAATAAGATTCAAACTTAAGATTTTATTCACTTCGTGCTTGCTTTACTACATAAGGCAAGATCAATTAATTTTGCAAACTCTGATCATTTAAAATAAATATGAAAATAGCACTATCTATAAAAAGTTGAAAACATGAAACTTTTTTATGGAAGCTTGATGTCATAACGGTTTTGTGTCCGTCTGACGAATTCGAAAATGAAAAATAAAAAAGAGTCACCACTAATCTTTTTTGGTTAGGTGCGATTGGTCACCTATTAAAACATATATTTTTAATGAACTCTTAAAATTAATTAAAATTTATTAAAAAGATAATTTTATAGTCTGCAAAATAGTCTGAATCGATTACGTGTGGGGAAGGATTAGCAACCCCACAACGCCCGTCTACGATAGTACCAATTAACTACATGTTATCCTTCGATTTTGATAAAAATAGTCTTATTTTTGGTATTTAAAAATTAATTTTTTTGATTTTTTGATTTATTATTTTTTATTCAAATATTATTCGAGAAAAATAAATTAGAACATTTTTATTGAAATAATTCTTAAAATGTTTCAGTACGATGGTGATATTAGAAGGACTCTTTCTCACATAGAGATTTCTTAGGCATTACTTCTCGGAATACCTTAGAATCTCATCTTTGGAGGTCCGAATTTACTTTTCGTAAAAAATTATGTCATATATGCAATGCAAATAATAACATGTTGATGCAAACATTTTATTCTCTTTTTCAAAAATTTTATTAATTATTTTATTAATTTTTTTCATTTTTAATTTTGAAGAAAAAAAGAATTTTTATTGTATTGAAGATTTTCTATAAATATTCCAATACGCTGGTAATATTTAAAAAAAAAAATCTTCTCACCTAGGGATTTCTTAAAGCATCTCTACTCGTAATACTTTTAGAATCCTATTATTTGATAAAATTTTCTTTTTTCTTATTTATATTATTATTTTTTAATATATTAATTAATTTTTATTTATTGTTAACAAAAAGAAAATTTTTATTATATTGACAAATTTTTATAAATATTCCAATACATTGGTAGTATTTAAAAAAAGTTTTTCTCACCTAGAGATTTTATGTGCATCACTACTCGCAATATCTTTAAATCCCATCATTGGATAAAATTTTCTTTTCTTATTTTTTTTATCAATATTATTATTATAAAGTTTCATTTTTTTCATTTTATTATATTTTAAATTTTATTTTAAAATAACAAAATTGTAGAAATTTTAACTACATAAAAAATTATTCTAACAAATTTAAATATTTTAGTATGCATAAATATTATAAAAATAATATATAAAAAAATTAAAAAATTTTTTTATCTGAATTGGACTGGTCAATGCGGGATCAGTTAGATCGACGGCTCAGTTCGGTTTGGCGGTTCAAGGACGGTTCAGTTCTGATGTCAGGGGTTTAACGACGGTCTGGTCTGATTCACCTGAATTGGTCTGGGTTTGAAGATAGATCGAGTAATTAGGTCGGTTGCATGGATCCCGGGTCGACGTGTAGATCCTTAGAGGCTAAAATGACGTCGTTTTAGGTTTTGGCCGTTTATATAAAACTAAATTTTTTTTCGATCATTTCTACTTCTACTTACAAAAAAAATTCCTTTTTTCTCTCAGACAAAAAAAAAAAGGGGACCAGTCGACCGTTATCATCGTCGTGCTGCTGCCGTTCGTCGGTCACCAGTGGTTGAAAAATCTCAAAAATTCCTCATCGTGCTCCTAAACACAGATCTGGCCTTGGTTTCACCTGAAAGTATCTCAAACGACCCAGATCAGCCTTCAAAATTTTAGCCAAAAAAATAAGTTTTTTTTTGTGTGTTTTTCTGGTTTGCCTTTTTTGTGTGTATGTGTATTTTGGTACTGGGTTCCCCGTTCCAGAGGACTATTTCTGCTTTTTTTTGGTTTCTGCAAAAAATTTTTTCGACAGAAAGCTTTATTTTTTTTTTGTAAAATTTTTTTTGTAATTTTTTCTCAGTTTTTTTTTTCGATTTTTTTTCTCCTCTTTTTTTTCACAGATTACAAGCTTTATTTATAGAGTTTACTGAGATTAAAATTCCAGATCTTCAGGGATTCGAGTCCTAATTTTTCAACTGACGTGATAAGCTGATATTCACTCGTTGGCTAGTGTTGGCAGTTGCCGATGGTGGTTTTGAATTTTATGGAGAGTGCATTTAATGTTCTCATGCTTAGTCAATTTGAATCGGATAAGGAAGAAGAAGAAGGAAAAAGAAAGAAGAAAGAAAAAGGAGAAAAAAAAAAAGAAAAAAAAAGAAAAAAAATAATTAAAAAAATGGTGTTTACACTTAAAAATTTTGAAAGCAATAAAATAAATTATGAATTAAACATTAAGAATCTTCTTGGGTTCTAATCTTCAAATCTTCAATCCTCATTTTCACATACCATTCATCAATATTTGCCCCAATGATAAGTTAAAATGTAATAAATACTTAAAATGTTTCATTATTTTTATATACAAAACAATTGTTCATTTTTCCTCAATCCAAATGTATTTTTAAAATTCATTTTCTGTTTTTTGGAAATAAGTTTCATTTAAAATATGAAAATAGTTTTCCATTTTTGATGCTTGTGGAAAATGCAGCAGCTTCAACTACCAACACCATCAAACATTAATCCCATTTTGATCAAAGGAATAAAAGGTTAGTTGTTATTAAGCCAAGTAATGACAAAATCAAATAAATATGGGTCAATTTAAAATTTGAAGTCTCTTTATATTCGAGCAAGCAGATGAACCTGTTTATATGTAGATGTAAAGGTACAACTGCAATGGAAAATAAAGCTAATGATGAAAGTTATTTATGTCAAAGCTGGTGTTGGTAAAAATTTTTAT